TGTGAAAGGAAGAGTGTATTTCAAGCCGATTTAAAATGTGGCTGAGCTACGGCAAAGACTATTGGAAGCAGCTGAGTTTGTTTATAACCGTGGATTCGCTCGTTTAATAACCCGATCTTTTTTAAGAACAACGAGGTTTGATTAGCTAGATTAACTATTTTATTATTAAATGGCAAATCATAACTATGTTTTTTTCTATCTTTAATAAAATAATTCCGTCCTAATCCAACCTCATCAGTCCAGTTCTTTATTCGTCGACTATGTGTTCCCTTCACTGTTGTTTAAAACCAATTTCAGCAACAATCTCGCCGACTTAGTAAGTAACTATTTTTCCTCCTAATTTTTAATTGTTGCTATTGTCAATAATTGTTTCAAGCTCCAGACGATGAAGACATAGATCTTCGAAAGCTCGAGTTTAAGTTTATATATACTTTGCCTTCTACCCAAAGAAGTTCGAGGATATTTTCTCCTAACAGTTAAGGCAATTAACTATGAATAGTATATATATTAAATAAGGAAAAATCAACTTTTCTTTGATCCTACTGACAAAACTGTAGTTAGTGAATACTTCCTAAACACTTTAAAATAAAGATGTGTCTTTCATAAAATGTCAATCCGTTACGAGTGGGTTTGGAAGAAATAACTGACTACTATAAAAACGCTCATGAGCACTTTTATTTGCTTCAATCAACGAAAAGCTTTTCCTATACATACATATCTGCTAACCGTGCCGAAGTATATTATTATGAGAAAGTAAAAACTTTCAACTAGGCAACTAAACGTTTAGAAAAAAGTCTTCCCCGATTGTAGAGTCATTTGTTGATTAAATGAAGCGCAAAGGATCAGCATATAACGCATTTAGTAAGTTGCATTGGAAACTTCGTAGCCAGCAAGTTGCTCCAGCTATGTAAACATTGAGGTCTGACCGATTTCCATCAGCTTTCCGTTTCACGAGTGTTGAACTTCAATCCTCGGACTTTCAACAGGGAAAACAAACAGTTTCAATCGTTGATCCGTGAAGTTTTCCTGATGCATTAAGAATTCAACTGCCCCTCATTCCAATGCCATTGTGTTGATTTTAACTTCTCCCGATGATGAACGACGTAGACTTTATTGCCCTCCAGTGGCAGGATAGTGCAGAACATTGGGAGGAACTCAAACGTACACTGCAAGAGATGAAATGATGTCAGCAAAGCAAACGTTTTACTATATGAAAATACTTGTTATTCTTCTTAATGGGAGGTAGCTCGGAATCTAGAAGCAAGCATGCTTTACTTCAGCTCCAGCCTATGAGTGCGCCTTCTTTAAGAGAGACCGAAAGTGCTGGCATCGATTCTTCAGTTGATGGAGCTTGTCGATCAAAAAATTTATTGCTCATAGTGTTTTTCAAAAAGCGCCTATCAGGTACTAGACTATAATATTTTAGTGTAAAATTGACAAGAAGCAATTCGGAGATGTCGACTGGGACCTGTATTGGGACATACTTTGAGCTGTCTGATACTCTTTTGATAGCTCCTGAATATGAGATCACCGTCTTCCAAACTGGCGCATAATCAGACTATCGAATCTGAAATGTCAACGTTTTGCCTTTGTTTTTGTTTACCTTTTTTAAAATGTCATCTCGTGGTTTTTGTGAAGGAAGCATCCATTTTAATCACTAGTTGCTGAGTTATAAGCAATTCCATGTATAAAGCCTCTCAAGGTGAACCGTCCGTTAGTACGCCATTTTTTTAAGATAATCAGTTTGTGCTTCATGGTTATACATTATACTGGTAAGGAGCTTCGAAATAAGGTATCAGACGAGTAACTATCACAAGCATTTTTGTTGTCCGGTAAAAATACTGATGAATTGAGAATCGAAAATCGATGTTAAGCGTTGGGAAAATTTTGTTTTGAAAACGCTATCAACTCATTCACGAAATACAGCTACTTTTCGCATTGCACTATCTGTTTATCAGAATAAATTTAACGACTTGTTTCCAATAAGCTTTCCCTGATCGTACGTACGCCTATGCCTGCCTTCCAGACACGCTTAAATAATGATCCGACTCATAAAATGTGACTGGCCTAGTAGATGTGGGATTCTGAGTGCTGACCAGACTGTCTGGAACCATCGCTATGATAATTTATAATTTCCTTCAATCCTCACGTAGATATACGAATGTCTCGAGAAATGTATAAGGCTGTCAGTGTCAAGATAGAAAAAGCAGTGCGAGGAATTTTGTATCTCTAATGAATATCCCAAATGTCTTTTGGGATAAATCGTTGTACGTCATAATAAAAATTAATTTAGTAACATACATTTTTGCTTTAACTTATATTTCAAAGAATTAATTGAAACGATTTAAATAACATGATGTTACAAGTTAACATTTCAAATTTCTCCGTAAAAAAAGCAAACAGTTATGATGACGGTATTTCTGTTATTTGTGACCACCGAAGGAAACTCTAAGATCAAACAGCTGTGACAGATGACACACTGCAGTACCTTAATGCTATCACATACTTTTCAAATGCTTTCCATTTAAATCCAATGCATTTGGAACTGACGGGGTATTTAAACGCTTAAATTACGTTTTCCACTTATTTCAATACATATATTACATATCGTGAATAAATATTTTGGAAGAAGTATATTTCATAAGTCATGAAAAAGCCCTCTTGTTTTACCTTTGCCCAAAGTAATCCTGACCTGAGGCCTATTAGCATTTTACCTATACTTTCAAAATTATTAGAAAAAGCAATATATACACAAATAAATGAATATGTTTTGAAATGTGGTAAGCTACCATCTAGACAATGCGGTTCCAGGAAGGAATATAATAGTGCTGCAGCATTTTATATCTAACTGACAATATTGACAGGGCGTGGGATCACCATGAAACTACTTCCTTAATTCTTTCAGATTTTTTTTAAGCGTTTCACACCATCAACTAATCACTTTTTATAGCCAAATGTAATTTGTATGGCTTCTCTGAATCATCAGTTGCTCTAATGAGTAGCTTTTCAAGAAATAGGACACAAAGAGTTGTCTTCTATATTGAACGCTACTGTCGAGTTTTTAATATCATCGATAGTGACTCAGGGGTCGGTTCTGGGGCCACTTCCTTCTATTTTATATATACCTCCAATCATACTGCTAAATACTACAATATCCAGTTTTCGCGGATGACCCGTAGTTATACAGTAATTTTAATACAAACATTATAATATACTAAGTGACATATAAATCCGAACACCCAGTTTAAATGGTTTTATTTTAATAAAATTTTGTATAAGTACTTAATGAAGCATAATAAGTAAATGATAAAAATTTCAAAATGATTGCACTGCTTTAAAGCCCTTTGACCTTTAATAATGTGTGGATGCACCATGATGTGCTACGCATTCTCCAACGCGCCTAGGCATGCTTCTGATGAGGTGGTCAATGTCCTACTGTGGTATCTCATTCTAGGCAACCACCAACTCCTCTCGAAGTGCTTCTAGAGTCTGAGGAGGACGTTGCAAATTGAGCAATCTCCTACGCATCATATCCCACACGTGCTCAATTGGGGATAAGTCGGGAGATCTTGGTGGACTCTTGCAACATGTGGTCGGGCATTATGTTGTTGGAAAGTTGGATCTGGATCTTTCAACAAAAAACTGTGGATTCCTCCTTTCACCACGTCGCCTTCTAACCCTGGCACGACCATCGTGCATGCCTAAACAAAATCAAGACTCGTCACTAAAGACAATACTGTACCATTCCTGATCCCAGAGTCACCGTTGTCTGCACCACTCAAGGCGATTACATCGGTGTTCTCGAGTTAAAGGGAGGACCCAGTGTGGCCGGTATGAAAACAAGCCAAAACTTCTCATTCGTCGGTAAACACTTCGCATGCCAATAGGTCTTCCGTGTTCTGCAAACCATTCATTTGCAATGGACCTGGTAGTGGAGAAACGGTCCCTTAAGGCCAATAATCTTAGGCGGCGATCTTCACGGTCTGTTGTTCTCCGGCGGCGTCCAGTGCCCCTTGCTCTTTGCGTACGGCCTTCTCGAAGCCATGCCTGACAACACCTAACCACAGTGTCTACACTTCTTTGCACTCTAACTGCAATTGCCCGAAAAGAAAGTCCAGCTTCCCGAAGTCCTACTATACGGCCCCTATCAAACTCACTAAGTTGACGACATCGTACAGGTCTCCGTACTCTAGGCACCGTAACCGATCGTAAAGGATGTCAAGAACCAAAATCCGCCAACGTTGATTCTTTACTGCGGCTGAAATATTCATTTTTAGAGCGTTAGTGAATTAAAAAAAAAGCAGTATAAAAACCGGAATGTCCAACTGATAAGGCTGAAAATTTTTTCACTTGTTATTTACAGTAAGATAAATACATTCACCAACTTTTATTAAAATAAAACCATTTAAACTGGGTGTTCGGATTTATATGTCACTTAGTATAATTGCTGAGGCTCAAATTCATGATAGACAGATAGACAGATACTTCAACAAGTATGCTAAAATTAATATTCATAGATTAAATCCAGAAAAACCAAAAGTAATTATATTCTCTCCTAAAAAAATAGAAATCAAATTAAGGAATATTCGACTATATCATTAAGTGGTTAAATTATAAAAATATGTGACACTGTAAAAAATCTAGGCGTAACTCTTGATCAATGTCTGAATTTTATTTCTCATGTGAACAGTTTTAGAAAAAGTTGTTTTTTAGTAGTTTAGCAATTATACTTGCTCAATTACAAAACTAAAAAAATTCTATGTGAGTTATTAGTTATTCCAAAAATTGCATACTGTGACTTTTTTTAGCATCCGTTTTTAAATCCAGTATCTTTCAAGCGCTTGCAAAAAATTCAAAATTCATGTAACTTAAAAAAATATGACCACCTCACCTTCTCGTTCATAGAGTTGGAATGGATATCTCTTAACAATCTGGTTAAATTTAATTTATTATGTTATATTCATAAACTTTTACTTACATCAATTCTATGCTTATAAAATATGCACATTGACAAACTAAGTAAACGCATTAACTTCAAAGATGGCTATGTAATTAAGTACATAGTATAAAACTATTGAAATGATCTAACATTCATTGATTATTTTGTTTCATCTGTTCTAGTGATAATCACAAGACAACGACCCGGCCCACCAATCGACTTCTCGGTCCGTTCATCGGTAGAAGAGGCGGACATAGGAGAATTCTTCAGCGAAGGCAAACGAGGGTGCCGGCCGAACGTCTTCAAGAGCCAGTTGGTAGAGGGGATGCAGGTCGCCCTCAATTGGACCCTCAGGGAAGACGGGAGGCCGTACGGGAAGACAAACGTTACTTTTGGGTAAGAAAGTTTTCATTAACTGTACAAGAAAATGCTGTTTTATCGCTTGCAATCCGTCACGTAAACGTGATAACCATACGTGAACAAGCTTGGACAGGAACATTTTCATCATCCCAATATATTCAACACATAATGTGTGGGCCAATATAAGGGACGCCAGTTATACAGGGTGTTTCAGTTTATTGTCGCTTAACTTTAAGGTTCGATAGAACTTTTAAAATTAATGCATAAAGTCTATATAAACATGGGTCGAAAAATGCGTGGCTTCCGAAATACAGGGTGTTTAAATTTACTTTCTAAAATAGTTTTTTTTCAAATATTTCGAACAATATTTGATGTATAACAGTGAAAATTGGTATACAAGGGTTTTTTGGTACGACAAAACGAACCATGGGCATAGTTTTACTGTAGCCGCTAAAGGGCGCTCTCGACTGTACCTGTAGTGTATTGAAATGACCGAAAATTTCTTCTTAGTGCAATTTTTTGCTTTTTGAATAAAAAAACTGATTCTTCGCACTTTTCAACATAAAAAAGCTCTCTCGTGAATTTTCGTTATAGTTTGCCGTTTTTGAGATATTTCGATTTTTAAGGTTCGATGCATTTTTAATTACTTATGATAAAATAACGTTAAAAAGTCAGTATCTCGATAATTTTTAGAAGTAGGCACTGCCTGCAAATATTTTTTAAATTGAAAGCAGAATAAGGTTAAACGTCAATTAGTTGACAGTTAGTTTTGTTGTCTGTTGAAACCCGAAAGTTTTTTTGCAATTGTGAATGCACGAAATTTAGTTTGTTTTACCTGTTTTTTTTTGTAAGTTATATAAAGATGCCATTTTTATTCTCCAATCACGAGTTATGGGATATTCATTTTGTGTATGGCTCTGTAAATGGAAACGCAGCAGAAGCAGCCAGAGAATACGCACGAAGATTTCCAAACAGACGACATCCAACTCGCTCAGTATTTGTACGAGTGCATCGCCAAATAATTGAAAATGGTTTTGGAAATCTCCAAAGGGATCAAAACATAAATGTTCGTCAGCGCAGATTTACCGATATGATTCTGCGTGAGTTTGATAGAGATCCGACCACAAGTGTTAGGAGAGTTTTTGGTGCCTTGGGAATTTCAGCAAGCCATGTTCACCGTGTTCTCAGAAATGACCATAGACGTCCTTACCATTTGCAACCTGTGCAAGGACTACAGCCAGGGGACGGAGAACGAAGATTCACATTTTGTCAGTGGATTCTTGATAGATCTGATAATAATAGGGAGTTTTTAAGTAACGTTTTGTGGACCGATGAGCTTCACTAGACGTGGAGTGGTAAATTTTCATAATCAACATATTTGGTCGCATGCAGTTCGGGAAAGAAATTTAGTGTGAACGTGTGGATTGGTATCTACCGTAATCGACTATTTGGACCCTACCATTTGCCTGCAAGGTTAAATGCTGCGACCTTCTTGGAATTTTTAAAGGCAAATATGTGGGATGATGTTATGTTAGATTTAAGAAGATTGGCCTGGTTCCAGCTCGATGGATGTCCAGCTCATTATTCGAGAGTAGTTAGAAACTGGCTGGACGAAAATTATCCCGAAAGATGGATCGGCCGTGGAGGACCAGTCGCCTGGCCTCCACGATCCCCTGACCTAAATCCATTAGATTTCTTCGTGTGGGGATTTCTAAAGTGTACGAGACTCCCGTAACCACAAGAGATATGCTAATAGACAGAATCAGGAATGCATGTGATGAAATAAGGCCTTATTTGAATAATGCTATACTACGTTCGATCATTCGTAGATGTGAATTGTGTATTGAACAATTGGGTTTACTATCCGAGCAACTACTTTAGATTTTGTATGTTTGTCCTAACTATTCAATAGCATTTTAGTTTGTAAATAATTAATTTAATTTGTTAAAAATAATATTGGAAAGTTAAATAAATTAATATTCTGTTTGTTTGTGTTCATTTGGAGTTAGGAATCATTGCTGTGCTTAAAAACACAATCTAAACGATCATCTTAATTACTTGTAATGCCCAATTCGAAAATGTAAAAAAAATATTATTTTCCCATAAATAATTAAAAATGCATCGAACCTTAAAAATCGAAATATCTCAAAAACGGCTAACTATAACGAAAACTCACAGGAGAGCTTTTTTTATGTTGAAAAGTGCGAAGAATCATTTTTTTTATTCAAAACGCAAAAAATTGCACTAAGAAAAATTTTTCGGTCATTTTAATACACTACAGGTACAGTAGATAGCGCCCTTTAGCGGCTACAGTAAAAAAATTTTTATTTTAAATCATACGAAATCAAAGTGTAAATAAAACAAACCAAGCTAATAATATGATCTATCACAGACTTATCTACATAATAATATCAGACAAGACAACAAAAAATGCAACTTCATGAAAAAAATAAGAATAACAAACATGTTACGACCTCAGATCAACGAAACTCCGCTTGTTCACTGCTCATCCAAATTTTGTTGCGGTCTCCGGACTGGTACAGAATTTAAACACTAGATTAGACCATAAAAGACTAGACTATACCTGTTCCAATAGTAAGAAGCGCACACCGTTGCTGTTGGTGTAAGAGTAGTCGCTAGTCGCATGCGCACTGAGCGGGTTGGCAATGTCGCCACTATCCGTTCTTAGAGTTACAGATATTTTATATAACTACCCCCCTTTAGCTCCCCCCCTGTGGGAGCGCCAGTGCACACAGCAGTATACTGCGTAAGGATCTGTTGGTTCCTCTAGAAACTTCTCTTATCGATAAACCAGCTCCACGCAACCAAACAATCCGACCCCTCTCAAGGTCATTTTGAGCAATCGCAAAAGGCTTCGCAAAAAGCTACACGAAATATAACATTTAACTGGCATCGTAAATGTACGAAACCTGACTGTTTCCCTATCACCAAACAATGCACGCGGTCAATACAACAACCTGACCATCTTATCTAGGTGTTTACTTTTCTTTTCTGTCACTCAGTATATCTCAGCAGCCCGTCAACCTGGAGATATCATTTGAACATTTTTATGACAAGTATCCAAATATATTTTAGGCCCGTATCGTCAGTCGTCCCTACAATTGTAGAGGGCCTTTATGGCCTCCTTGATTGTCATAGCTTTCTACTTCTCCGTGTCAGCGCTCTATTTTGAGGTTATGTCACAAACATCTATTTGCATCAAATTGTGCTTGCTTTAGAGTTATATCATGTTTTAACAGCCTGAAATTTCCTACAATTTTAAAAGAAAACATATCTTCACAATAGGAGAGCGCTGACGTTGACCCGGGACAAGTGTAATCTAGAAATTTTTGAAGGAGAGAAAGGAGTTTGACAATCAAGGAGGCCATAAACGCGCCCTACAATTGTAGGGACGACTGACGATACGGGCCTTAGATGCCAATTCGCGAAAAAATGACATTTCTGTTTTTGAGGTTAGAATTGCGCCTCTGGCTGCCTTAGTTTAAGCGTGACATAATGTATTGGCAGATAATTCGTCGGGTGCAACTATCATAACTTTGACGCTTACTTAAACCACATAAACATATACATACTAAATATAGCCTGTTTTTAGTTTGATTAGCTTTCACTAATTTGTAGAATTTATCATGCACTTTCTGAATAAAGAAGGATAACAATACAATAATTGTATTCGAGTTTTTTTTGGAAAGCGTTTCAAATATTAAATAAAGCCAAAAGGATGAAAATCGATATAGAAAATCAAAGGCTGTACTGCCTTTCTTGGAATGACCTTGAACCCTTGTCCTTCTCTAAGCCAATCATGCTACAAAGAAATGCTGTTAACAAGGGGTCACAAAGTACGAATTCAATAGAGCTATTTCAGGTATACTTTAATGATGAATCTTATGGAACAAACGCCACTTTTGAAGCTACAGTTACACCCTTAGCGGCCACTTTGGAAAGCTAAAAGTTTTTATCGGTAACTGTCGGTCACTTTTGTTATGAGGTTTCTCAATCGATACCTCTAGGTTGAGTGAATGCCGAGATACAGTAGGCGTTCTTTATTAATGCCGCATCTGGTACATAAACCGTGATTTTGGCCAAGTAAATGCCATAAAAGCAAGAACTTCGTTCGGAACCAAAAACTTCTAGCTAGCTAGCCTCCAAAGTGCGTGTGTGTAGGTGCTACACGCTCGTCAGGTGACAGGCCTGCATTATCAACGTTTACGCTGATTACGGGCTAGGGTTATCAAGTTCAGTTCGATTTACTTTGGCGTCTTGAAATTCTAATTCTTCCTAACGTATGCGCCCTGCTTAGTATGCTGCAGGTCTCTCTTCAGAATGCATATTCCATTATCTAACGCCATGCTCAGCTTACTTTGCATTAACGGTTTTGTTGAACTTGGAGATAGTGATCCTGTTGCGAATACCTTCTAGATGAAAACTAAACACTAAGGGCATAACCCCAGTTATAAACTGCTGGTTTTGTCTGGGTGGATTAAAAGCTAACTTACACTTAGTAACTATCTAAAAATATCATCAAGATCCGAAAACTCGTTAACGCGTATGCGCGTATCTGCATATATATATATATATATATATATACAGATTGTAATTAAAGGAATGTACAGGGTTTGTCCGGAAAGTAATAGGACTGAGTCGATTTAAAAAAAATTATTGAGCCAATCGTTACAATTCTTTCAAAACTTTCAAAATAGGCTCTTCCGGCGTCGATGCAGCGCGATTTCCAAGCATTGAAGGCGTCACGGAAGGCATTCTCCGGAATAGCCTTGAGAGTCGCGGTGGATGCTGCTTGGATCACCTCTGTCGTCTCAAAATGCTTGTCTTTCATCGACTTTTTCAGGCGAGGAAACAAAAAAAGTCCGGGGGGGGGCACATCTGGGCTGTAGGGCGGCTGCGGAAGCGTTGGGATGACGGCCTTGGTCAGGTAGCTGTTCACAAGAAAGGCGGTGTGAGCCGGGGCGTTGTCGTGGTGCAACTTTGAGTCGGCTGCGATGTCTTGTCGGTCCCGACTG